AACTCCCAGAACTCCCCAGCCCCCTGGGGAATTCTGGGAGTTGAAGTCCACACATCTTCAAGCTGCCAAGGTTGAGAAACACTGATGTAAACTACCCACCCACAAAAGTTTTGCTGGAGAGCAAAGACCTTGTAAAAACCAAATAAGAAATTATAAAATAATTTAAAAGTGTCTTTGTATAGTACAAACTTTAAAACTGTTATTTAGAGCATTTTATCTGAGCAATCACCTTTTTGGATAGGGTTTTTCAAAGCGATTAGCAAGTGGCACTGGCTGGATTCTGACAAGATGCTAAACCAAGCTAAAATTGGGAAAGGGCTCCAGTGTGTTGTGGGAACTCAGTCATTGTTTGAGCATGCCTTAGCACAGCCCATCGCACCAAGCCAGCTTAGGGTTGGGCGTCGCCTTTGGAAGAACAGGGCATTTGTATCTTGTTTATCTTGAGTTTCAAATCCATCGCTCGGGTGTCCGATCAGAGCCGAACCTTTCCCGGCTCTTGCCGAAGCAGCGGGCTTCGCAACCGAATGCCTCCGAAGGCAAGGCGAGTCCCACGCCCGATCAGAGCCGAGCCAAGCCGAAGCTTGCCGCGCTCCCCGGAACCCATCGCGTCTTCCAGTCTCTGCCGGGCGCTGTCCACCGCCTGCGCCGCCTGAAACCTCCGCGTATTTAACAGCCCGGGCGCGCTACAGAAAAACGCGGACACGGACACGCACAGCCAGGGCTGGCCGGGAGCAGGCCCCCAAGGTCTCTCTGCGTGTGTGGGTGCGTGCGCGCATTTGTGTGTGCACAGGTGCGGGTGCACACCGAGGCGTGCAAATATCCCCCGAGCGCCTCTCTCTTAGCAACCTGCAGGGCATCCAAAGGCTGCTGAGAAGGCTGTTTTGCAACGGGCAACGGCCGGCCCTCTCCGGCTTTCGCAGCGGGAGAGAAAGGCGGCCCTTTTTCCGCAGCTGAGTGCAAGGCAAGCCTGGCGCCGCCGCTCCCTTCGTCATCTCGACGTCTCGCCTCCTAGCCACCCGGTCCCTCGCTTTCCTTGGCCAAGGGCGCCCGGAAGAGGCGCTCCCGCTCAGCAGGGAGCGTGTGTACGCGTGAGTGCACACACGCACCCCTGTGCTGCACCCGCTGCCTCATGGATCTGCCTCCCGCGCCCCGCCCCACAAGCCTCTCGGGAGTTCAAATCAGCGTCACTGATTGCTCGCGGGGAGAGGTCCGATGCAGAAAGCCCTCCTCCTTACGATCTGCAAGGGTTAGGAATCCGGCACATTCACACGTTCCGGATGTCGGGTGTCAACGGGGAGGGGGAAGAACGAGGAGGGCCTGCTCGCCTCCGTTTGCAGGATGTCGATCTCCTGCCCCGGCTTAATTTGGAGAGACAGCCAAGTTCTGCCCTGATTAATTAAAGTACAGGGAACGGCTGCAAGCTAGAAAGCCGCGAAAGGGAGGGAGGGGAGAGGAGAGGCTGATGGAAACTAGTTTCAGATCGGTATTATTAGGTGCCTGTCCACCGATCCACATGTCCAGGCCGAAACCCAGCCCTAACCAGTCCGAGACAAAGACTGGAAACGCAGGCAAAGGAGCGCCCGTCTGGGAAGCAGGTGGAGGTGGGGGGGGGGGGGGAAGCAGAGAGTAATTGAATGCTAGTCTTTAGCGCACAAATGCCTAGGCCAGGGCTGTGTTTCTCTCGGGCCCCGACCCCACCCCGCTCCAGCCACCATTCTTCGGAGGAGGAAGGAAGGAAAGGAGGAAGAGAAGAAATCCGATTTCAGCACCACAGCGGTGAACAGCACCGCA